CTCGCTAATTTCCTGTTAAGCAGACTGCAGCATCCAGGTTGACCCTTGGAAGCACAGATGGCGAAGGTGCGATGGAATTCAGGAACAAAGAATAGTGTAGGAAAGAAGACAAGAGCGAGATAAGACGTTTTGGTCCATCAAGTTACATACCTCTTAATTCAACACTGCGACTGGACTCCGTTAATATGACGGGGGCAATTTCTTTTTTTTTTACAGCTACGTTTCATTAGGATCAGTTTCAGGATATTTATCAGTTTATCGTACAATTCATGTGCGCAAAATGTTCACGCAGTTTGTCCATTTGCGGCTATTTGTCTGTTCAAAGATCTGTTCCGAGTAGTTCGTTCTTGTACGACCGCACTTGCGCATCTGAAAACAACAGTATCCTACAATGCTTTCAACGAGACGGTGCCCCCATCGCAGTCCCCTTCAAATCAAACACCTGCCGAGTTTGATTCTTTTTCAATACCATGGTTGCATAATGTGCTCGATAAACTACAGGACTATAGGAGGTACGCTGCATTCTGTTTGTTGCTTCTCGTGTTTTTTATCTTGTAAAGGAAGCGATGAAAATTATAGGACACAAATTTAGCGTTAAAGGCTTACATACAAATTTCGGAATACTTGTTAAATGCACTATTTCATTTTATATTCTTAGTCTATTTGGCGTGATGAAATAAAGGATAAATTAGAGTAGAAGGGAAAGCAATACGGAAAATTCGTATTTTGAATGAGAAAGTCTTTTAGCCATGCATTTTAAATGTAAAATGTATTGTGAAGTTGATTATAACTTGCCGCTCGTGAAAGAAAACCATAATAAATTGTAGGCAGTATTTGGATTACGACATACAAGAAGAAATATAAGTGTATTAAATTTTATGTATAGCTCTCCTTTACTTGTATGATTGCATTTCAGTAATATCATTGGCCTCTCACCGATACTCCTCTTCCTGTTATTGGTAGACAGATGTGATTACTCTGTTATTTCGGTTTTTATGCGTTTTTTGCAGCTATGCAATGCAGAAAACGCATATTGACGAGAGGTGGTCTGTGTGTGTCTGTGTGTGCGCTGTGCGTCTATACCGCTTTTTCATCTCGAGATCCACAAAAGCTACAGGACTGAAACTTTGGAGACTTAATGTACATGAGTGTACGGGCCTCCATCTCCAAATTGGGTGGTCTCACCGCGTGGTACCCACGTCCGAGTCCGCCAAAGTTCTTTCGGGTAATTTCCTAACTCGAAAACCTGAGAAGCTAGAAGACTGGAATTTTAAGGGGATGTCCCCGGTATTAAAGAGTTCAAACCTAGCCTTCGAATATGCGTGATACCTAAGTACGGGTTCGGCAAAGTTTTTTTCGGGCAAGTTCCTAACTTGAAGATATGAAAAGATAAAAGACTGGAATTTTAAGGGGGTGTTCCGCACTCATGTAGGTATTAGTGAGCTAAAACTCAGCCCCTGGCTGTGCGTTGTACCCAAGTACGAGGCCGTGAAATTTTTTCCGGGTAAGTTGTTTATTTGGAAACCTGGGAAGCTAGAGGATTGGAATTTTGATGGGATGTTCTCCATCTAAGAAGGTGTTAATGGGCTCAAACTCAGACACCGGGTGTGCGTGGTATTCACGTGTAGGCTCGCCAAGTTTTTTTCAGGCAGGTTGCTAACTCGGGGAACTGAAAAGTTAAAAAGCTGAGATTTTAAGGGAGTGTTTTCTGACAGTACTGGCGGCCGTCTTAATTTGTTTTGTTAGAAGCATTTGTCGGAAAACCAGTGCGCGACGAAAACTGCGGGGAGCTACGCAAAAAACGCATCTTCACACGGGCAGCCCGTGCGTTGGCCAATTATTTTTTTTTTTTTTTTTGCCGCTAAAGTTTAAAGTTGCAAGTTGTAGTTCTCTGATCGAAACTACGGAACGCAATAAGGAATTGGTCGAAGTGAAAATCGATGGCAATACGGATTTGAAAATTACTATGTTGGAGATGACTCTAACTCATCTGTACATTTCGATGACCTTCAAGAAAATTCAGGTCAGTGTTATTTTTCGTGAAGAATGCCGGACCTAGTGTGTTGTGATGGGATCATTTTTTGGTTATGGTGTGAACAGGAGGAATGGTTTTACTAGTTGAGTAAAATTCACTTGAACAGTTTGGGTTAGCTGTAATTTGTAATTTGGTTCTTCAACCATTCAGTTAGTAATTTTGGTTTATTATTTTCACCAGCGTTACTGCGTTTCGTGTTCAGTCTGCTGGTGATCCTGATATTTATTTTGTACCATAAAGGGAATAAAAGTTCATTCGGTTATCTCAACGGAAGCATTTATTGAGATTTTAGCTGTCCTGAGGTATTCTTGGTGTATGTTGGAAATCGTCACTTCATTTTGAGAATTACCACTTCCTGAACCGTGGTTTGCTACCCTGCTGATTTGTAGAGTTGGTTAAACAGCAACTTTATAACACTGCGTGCATTGATGTGCAGTAGCAGTTTTTTTAATACGTGGTGCTGCTCCATTTTAGCATGTCATGGTAATTTTGGTCATAATCGCTTGTCTTTTAAAAATCCTTCATATGCAAGCTAAAAAAATGCTACTCTTTTTAAGGTTTCACACAAAAATCGTCGTGACAAAGCAGCAGTGGATAAAAAAATATTGGATGAGCTACATGCATCTGTGCAGCGTGCAAATTTAATCTTATCAGAATTCGTGATGGGTCGCGATGCGAAGCATATTGTCAGCTTTTCGGTCAAAACGAGCTCCGTGAGATTCGAACGGTTCTAAATTATTTTTCGTTCAATAAACAAAGTCAAACCTCCTCCAGATTCCTCGCTCTTAGCATGTGCCGAAGCGTCTACCAACTTGTAGGACTGTCGATGGCTTTTCCGTAGGATGCGTGATGCTGGTTTTATTATTTCCATTCATGTGTAATCCAATTTTGCAAAAATTTCAGCTACTGTTACTAGAATGTCTCATAAAGTCTGTTGAATTTGGTTATTTGTCTGCACTTTTCATCCACAGACAGCTTCCTTATTATGTGCTATTTTTCAGGAAGCAGTACTTGAATAGTTCAGTGGAGAGCAATGTGAATGTGCTGGTTGGTGATATCGAGGGTGATATGCCCGTTCATGCTCAGAATCTCCACGAAGTGGTGCTGAGGAACGTGTCACAATTGAACGAGCAGATGACTCGCCTAGAATACAGTGTCCCAACGGTTTGTTCATTTTTCTATCTAAGTCATAATTATTTGTCTGTCATTCGGCGAAACCTTTAGAAATTCTTATTGTCCGGAAGATCACTGAATTTCACCGATTTTACAACGTTGGGTTTTTATGCGTTTTTTGCAGCTATGCAATGCAAAAACGCATATTGACGAGGGGTTGTCTGTGTGT